CCCCAAAACCCCAAAACCCCAAAACCCCAAAACCCCACTGGAGATTCCCAGTTGAATTATTAAGCTAAAATTTATATTTTCATATTTTACGATGTTGATTCATAAATATGTTTGAATTTTATCCCAGTTTCTTTAGTAAGCTTTCAAGTCGTATCAAACAATATCTGGTTGACCCCAATACTTGAGGTAGAGTAGACATGAATTTTCTTGCAGTTAGGCGTGATAGAGTCCCTCAGGATGTCTTCGAAATTAGGACGTCCGAAAAATACTTTCACAGGACTTCCCCTCCAGTTCTCAGTACTGTACTTCGTATGGCTTTTGTTAAAGCTTGATGGTAGCCTATTTCTTTTTTTGATGATTTGCTTGTTAAGACTGATTATAATAAAAATGCTCTCCAGAAAAGAAAACTAGGTAAAGTTTTCAGGTTTTTCTCAAGTGTGATGAATATACTAAATTCAAGTTTTGGTAGCATCCAAGGAGAATTAATAATATGGAAGAGATAATTAGAGATCCATGAAACTTGCTCACCAGCTCTTGCTATAAAGACAAGCTTTGCAGAATCAAAGTTGAAGTTATTCTTCTTTCCTTTGTCATCTCTAATAACTTCTTCAAGTAAGCATAGATAAGGACTAATACCACTCCCAGCTCCTACCATGATAATATTCTTATTTATCGATAAAGGTATCATTCGGAGTTGATCAAGCTCTGCTGATCTTGATTTGAGGGTAAAACAATTTATTCCGATCTCTGAATTCTCGCAATGTTAGTTCTTGGTGTAAGTCGTGAAGTAAGTTGAATAAGTCAAAGTCTGTATATCGATCAGATTGGAATTCATCCATTTTCATCATCTTTTTCTTAATGGAATACATTTGTTGAATTAGTTTCAAAGTCCAATCTCCTGCTCCCTTGATCATCAAGATCAGATAAGGATTGTTTGGCGATGAAGCCACTGTATAAGGATGCCATTGAAGAGGATGAACACTAGGTAAATTAACAAACACATATTGGCCATGAACTAATCTGTAATTTTTAGGTTTCTCTAAATACATGAGCATATATGTTCAATCGCTTGAAACAGATACATCTATAATATGGAAGTCATTAAGTTTGTGTGATCACACTCTCATCATCTGCTGGATTAGAAGTATGCTAAATCCTGGTAAAACAAAGATAATTGCCAAAGGAATCCCAATTGTGAACCAGAAGTTAAGTCCATGAATCATTAGAGTTATTCAAAAAATAGGGAAAAGAGTCATATGAGTGTATCCAAATAGTTGGAAATAGTTCATTCGTATTCACTTGGTTGATGTGAGTGCCATAGTCAAAATTATTACTAAGAGAATTATTCCTGTCACTCCTGGGAGAGTCTCGAACAAGAGATGAGTGTATGATGGGATTTCATCAAAATTTTCACCACCTTTCACTCTATTCACTTCGTCAATATCCTCTTCATCAGAAATAACTCTGAACGTTCCAGCAAGGTGTCAAAATGAATGAACGCTAGCATAAAATGCCAATAAATATCCACAGAATTTATGGATCATGAAGTAGTGATCGAGCCAGCCTGATATTGAATTTTTGCATTTCCTCCTTGCTAATGTCATTAGATCATGAGAAATGAAGAACATGCAGACCATAATTATTATGAGGACAGAAAGCGAGGCTCCTCTGCTACAGACTATCCACCAGCCAAACACCTCATAGAAATCATTCACAAATGCTGTTAAAGTACCTTTGCAGATAGCTCAAAGGGCAGATAATATAAAGATGATGCCTAATTTAGGAATATAATCTCTTCTAAAGTCAATGCACCTCTTCGATTTAGTGATCTTTTTCATTTCTAATCTGAATTGATCAGCGTCACCCTTCTCCACCTCATCAGGTTGTGTTGTCACAGAAGGAAGAGCATCCTTCTTCAGTTTCTGTGAGAATCCTCTCCTAATAGCGAGTAATTTGGAAATCAAGCCTTTAAACAATTTTTTATTTTTAATGTATTGAAAGTGATAGTCTGTCTCTACATCCATAGGCGCAATTTTATTTGAGTTTTTAGGTCTAAAGATATTCTTAAAATCATCTAAGTTATTAGTCTCTATCTCTATAATGTTTTTAAGCAGTTTGACTGCTTTTTCAAAGTCATTGGAGTAGCTATAATTTGAGGATATCAACTTACCTATCAAAGATCACTGAATCTATAGAGTGATAAGAGGTAATAAAAGCATCTTTTGATTTCATAGCATCATTCGACTGATTCAAATTTGAATTATCAAGTACATTTTTCTGCGTTTCAAACCTCCTGAAATTTTTCCTAGATATAATCCTTCTTCCATACCTAACCCTCAAATGCTTTGATGCAAAACCATTTTCCCTCTTTTTTTCTTCTTTTTCTATCTGCTCTTTCTCTTCTTCTTCTTTAAAATCTTCATTTTCTTGTTCATTTTCACTTTCATCGACTTGGTCATTATCAGATTCGCATTCAAGGTCGATATCGAGGATCTCGATCATCCTGTCATACGCTGAGTTATTGATCCTAAGGATCCGACTCATGCGGGCTCCTTCGTAGAGGATGTGCTTCATAGTGGCCTTGGTTACCTTATTTGAACCCATACCGCTTCTTGAGAGCCTTTATTATTATTTCGGATTTTATGTCGCTTGTAAGGTACTCTTCAGAGAACTCAAAGTTTGGACCAAACGCCTTATTTAATATAAATATCAGGATCTTCTCTGTGTACTCTTCCTCGTTGGAGATCTCCATCTAATTTATCTGCTTCAGAGAATTTACGCACTGCACGTCGTTCTAGACAAGTAAGATAAGAGACAACAAAGCGCAAATTTATTTGCTCAGAGATGTATCGTTTAAATATTGAGGAGTGAAGAACAAGAGTGTATTTCTAATTTGTACAAACTTTGTTAAGCTATTTTTGCTTTCACCAAAACCAGCCAAACAAACTCTGCTATGTTCCAGATCCTTTGTAAGTATTAGATAACCTACATCCTCTTGGGAATTTGATTGTCTCTAAAAGTTTCTGATTGAACCTTCTGAAAGCTATTAAACCTTCGAGAGGATGCAGTCTATCTAATATTTTAAAGAAGCTGCTCTTTAGCAGAAGTCATTGTTCTGGTATCTGAAAGAGCAAGAATAGTGGTTCAAAGTTCCAGCTTAATCTTGACTATTCAATGTTAAAATATTTAGTTTGTAGACCAAATATGCTGCACAAGAATTTAATTCTGAATGTTATCCAATTAGGTTTGAATATAGATCGTTGGAATAATTTGATGAACAAATCAAATAATTTAAGGATACAAAGTATCTACATGAAATTTCAAACTAATGGGGAATAATTTAGAGAGACCTAATCACATGAGGCTAATTTATGAATAATTTTCAGTTTCTAAACTTTCTTTGCTATCAATTCAGTCTACACGCCATTAAGTTCTTAGCTGAATTTTCATAATGATTATATTCAACCAGTCTGCTGTTAATTATTAAAAAGAAGACCTTTATCTAACGTACAATATAAAGTTTTCCCTCACCATTGTAAAAGTTGACCTTCATTGATGTCAACGTATTTAGCATGGCTAAAAATATAAGAGAAATAATTCATGAGATATTGAGGACAAGAAGCTCTAAATAATGCTCAAATTTCTGATATCGACTATTAATAAACCTTATTTTCCAAAATACTCTAAAATTATACCCCAGCCTCTTCTTGCTTTAAGAAATCTTCATAGCTTTATTTTGTTGACATCAAGGCTTTAATATGAATTTTAAGCTAAAGAAATCAAGAAATTAGTAGAATATAAGAGTTAATAAATATGAGAAAACAAGGTGGTATAAAGCTCAATAGGTCATATTCGGATCTTAATCAGCTTTAGTATCTCGTACAGACACCCCAAAGCTCTATTCAACCCCATTTGCTTACTCTTGGATATTCCTAATATTTTTGGGACCTTGAAACTGATTGCCTTAGCTCCTAAGTAATAAATATTTTACACTTACGGTTAATTAATTGAATTTCAGGCTCTTCATCATCAGACTCGGCATAAGGGTTAAATTCTTTTGTCTTCGAGAAGTCCTGATACATATTTTCTTGATGCTAGAAGTATTAAAGACAAGGACCATCATAAAGCCTACTTGTTCATGAGCCACACTAACTTTTTCATACTCATCCAAGTCGATCCTAGGGGCGTTAGGGATCGGACTAAGTTTGTATTTATTCTCCATTGCTCTGGAATATGTAACAACAATATTATTTTAATAATGAATCACAATGGGGTTTTGGGGTTTTGGGGTTTTGGGGTTTTGGGGTTTTGGGG